AACAAGACTACAAAATCCTTAACCTCATTAAAACAAAAGAAACACAAAAAGAAATAGAAAGTACAAGTCAACACAGCTACATTTCTGTTTCCTGGCAGGGAAACGTCTGTGAGTGCACACTCTGGGATGAAGAGCTACAAGGCCTGAGCTGCAACATCCACACTGCTGTTTTTAGCACACTAGCTCTAGAATGAGTCTGTCTGCTCAGGCCGGGAGCCTTGCCCCCAGCTGCAGCATAGACATACCAATAGAGTCCTACCCTTTCTGGAGTAAACCAACAGTCCCACAAATAATAGTCCTTCAACTTCACTTTGGACCCTCAATTTGAGTCCGGATTCACTAGTCTTTACCGCTGGTATCAGGAGATTTCATTAGTCCTTACCCTTGTGTGGGGAGGAGGCAGGAGGGGTTTCACTCCACTTTCCTCAGTAGGCTGGTAGGGCAATCCAGGTCTTCCCTCTCCACGGGTCCTGGCCCAGGAACCCTTGTATAGGCAGTCAAAGCCTGACTACCTAGACCTTTTGCTGTCTCCATGGACCACTTGCTTCCTGATTCTGTCTTGAGCCTTTGTGTCAGCCTCTCCCTGGCCTCGTCCACCAGCCAGCTGCAGAGCTTCTTAGCGCTTTCTGCCACCCAACTTGTTCTGCTGCAAGAAAGTTTTCTCTACTCCTCTCTCAGGGCAGTGCGTGACTCAGCCGGTGTCTTCCTGCTCCCTGCAGGCCCCTCCACCAGTGCACAGAATCCTGGGTGGACTCACTTCCTGCCACGTTCTTTCCCAACTGCCTTAGCCTCCCTGTTGCAGACGTACCTTCCTTCCAGGAGGCTGCATCTGCCAGAAGTCCCACTCAGCTCCCTGATTCCAGCCAGGCTTCTCTCACTGAGTGAGAACCAGAGATCTGCTCTCCTTCCAGGTCAGGCCCTAACTGAGCCAGGTCCAGACTTTTTAATTCCTCTCTTCAGGTCTGACACTTACAACAGGTGAAGCTGGGTGAGGTTACCTGTACCCACAGGCTCTTACTGATCCCTTCAGACCCAGTGTGGGGTTGATACGCCCCGTCACTCAGGTCAAAGAAGTGTGCCTTGCACTTGAAGCAGAAGGGGGCGAGGTTCATGATGGTTCTTAGTTCCTGTGGAAGTTCTGTCTCCTGTACAGAGAAGCTTAACCTGTGATAGACAGTGCCACTGGGCCTGAGGGGTTGAGTTGTCAGCCACAGTCCTTAGCCTGCAGCTTTAATTGATCTTTTATATGTGCTTGGCCAAGGCCATTCAGTGCCTTGAAATAATGTCTGAGACCTTGGACTTGATTTGATAGTCAATGGGAAGCTAGTGCAAAGAGCAGAGGAAAGGTCCGATGGTAGACTGTGTTGCTGAGGAGCTGTGCTGCTGTTGGTGATGTATGATGGTTAAGGTTAAGATTTTGTCCGGTTATTTTTTAGTAAAAGTCACAGACGGGTTGCAGGCAATAAACAAAAATTCACAGAAGCCCATGACCAGTCTGTGATTTTTACTAAAAATAGTGGTTGGAAGGGTTGATGGGGGGCTAACTGAAGCCCAAGCAGGGGGAAGAGAGCTTGGGTCCAGCCGTAGGCTCCAGGCCCCACCCACTGAGACACCTGCTGGGGGTCTCTGGGCCCCACGCACTGCCTGACAGCTCTGGCCCTGCCACCCTGGGGCTGAAGCAGAAAATGTCACGGAGGTCTCTGAAAGTCACAAAATCCATGAACTTCATGACAATCTTATCCTTAATGATGGTTTACCTTAATCACACAATTTTGTTGCTGCTCCCTGATTGGATGACATGCAGGAGCTGGGAAATCAATGTAGTTTCAAGACAGCAATGTCAATACATTTACAAGAGCCTTCACAAGATTTTCACTCACTACAAATTATTTGTAGTGTAGTAGCACCCAGAGGCCCCAACCAAGATCAGGACCCCACAGTGTTAGGGAGTGTACAAACCCAGCATACATGACAGTCTCTGCTCCAAGGAGCTTATAATTTAAACAGACAAGACAGAGTAAGGCTGAGGGAAAGGAAATATTATTATCCCCATTTTGCAGATGGGGAAGTGAGGCACAGAGAAATTCAGTGGAAGATTTTTAAAAGCACAAACAGGAAATAGGCATCCAATTCTGATTGAAAGCAAAAGGTCTAACTCCCATTTGTCCCTTTGCACACCTCCCCCTAAATGACTTATCCTAAGTCACCCAGGTGCTTGTAGCAGAGCTGAGAATAGATTCCAGACTTCCTAAATCACAGTCCAGCACCTTAACCACAAGACCAATCTTCCTTTTGAAAGAAGGGAGTTCACTTACCATAAACTTCCATGCAACCGAACACAAATCACTCATATGAATGTTCTCAGAAAACTCTTTGAAAGCGTTGTGAATACCAAAGTAAATTGTGCATTTTTTATTTCAGTTCATAATTATAAAACCAGAAGAGGACCAGTGTGATCAACTAGTCTGATCTCCTGCATAACACAGGTTGTAGGACTTCCCCCAATTAATTTCTGTTTGAACTAGAGCATAATTTTTATAAAAACATCTTATCTTTATTTTAAAATTGCCAGTGATGAAGAATCCACCACAGCACTTGGTAAGTTGTTCCAATAGTTAATTACCCTCATTGTTAAAATGTGGGCCTTATTTCTAGTCTGAATTTGTCTCGCTTCAACTTCCAGCCGCTGGATCTTGTTAGACCTTTTTCTGCTTGACTGAAGAGCCTTTTATCAAATTTTTGTTCCCCATAACATTAATGTTCACGGATACTTTATGCAGAATTCACCAAACTCTACTCCTGATTTAAAAAATAAAATATTTGCTCTCTAAGTTTATTCTGATGGGATCAGTGAAAGGTTTCTAAGTGGACAGAAACATCTCAGTGAGCATGTAATTATTTCTCATAATGCAGCAGGCTGAGCAATGGTATAAATATGCAAAGGCTGCTCCACTTCACAGTTGCATGGATACCAAGCAGATGGGTAGATGAACGTGGAACTCTTTTTTAAGAGAGAGAGGGAGCGCAAGAGAGAGCACCCTTGTCAACACAAACTGCACCCATCTGGCTAGCTACAACACTCTGCTTGGCAAGAATGAAGAGAAACGTAATATTTTATTCTTTTCTTATTTTGCTGAACATGGTGATGATACTCCCAGCTCTCTGTAGTATTTCTGTTTCAGCTCTAACTTCATTCTGCTGGAAGCAGCCTCCCAGATTCTCAGAAAAAATGCTGCCTCCCTACCACCTGTCTTCATCCAACTTCTATGACTGTGTGACTAACTTAACCCCCTTTTGCTCTGTACCATAATACATGAAATAATACATGACATACATGAAAGAATTCTATATTTAGAATTACAGAAATACAGAAATACATGAAAGAATACAAGACACTGAATGAAGCCATATCAGTATTGTCATGATTAGAATACAGAGCACTGTTTAGCTCTTTTGTAATGGTTAAGCTATTCTATACAATGCTTTAAAAGGGCTTATATCCTAGGGAATCAATCATAAAGTTCACACTCTATTATAGACTTTTTCTTTATCCAATCACAATAATTTGTCCAATACCTATTGCCAATAAAGCCATCTAGGCACTACCTTGGACCTGGGCCCAGGCCACAAAAAACAGATCTGTATCCAGCTCGGGAGAGTTTGAAGTTGGGGGTTGGGTTCAGATTCTTCTCTTTGCTGACCATAAAAATAATCTAACCATTCATTATCTCAGTCTGGATCTACTGGCCCAGCTGCATCCCCTTCTGCACCACCAACCCCCCTTCCAGCATCCCATTTAAAAAATGGAAACAAATAAACTGATCGCAAAAGGAAGGATTTATATGTTCTGAAAACGGAGGCACTCTAATGGGCATGATTGCCATGGCCAAGTCATGGGTGGCCAGACCTAGTAGTCACAGCCAGAGACTGCAGGCATGAGACAGCTGGCTCAGGCTACCAGGAGGTCAGAATCAGGAGACAAATTGGAGATCAGAAAGGACAGTTATCTGCTCCGTAACTAGCGTTCTTTGAGAGGTGTTGCTCATGTCCATTCCATTGTAGGTGTGTGTGCTCACCACATGCACTGGTGCCGGACGTTTTTCCTTCAGTTGTATCTGTAGGGGACTGGCTCTGGTGCCCTCTGGAGTGGCGTGCACATGCCGTGGTATAAGGGGTGCAGCTGGCTCCCCACACCCTCAGTTGTTCTTGCTGGAAACTCTGCGGGCGGGGAAGGAGGGCAGGTTATGGAATGGACATGAGCAACACATCTCGAAGAACACTAGTTACGGAAAAGGTAACTGTCTTTTATTCTTCGAGAGCTTGCTCACATGCATTCCATATTATGTGACTCCCAAGCAGTACCCATGGAGATGGGGAGGAGTTCATGGACGTGTAGATTGCAACACAGCTCTGCCAAACCCAGAATCATCTCTGGCCTGCTGAATGATGATGTAATGTGCTGTGAATGTGTGAACCGAAGACCACATCATGGCTCTGCAATGGCCTGGATGGGAATGTGCACCAGGAAGGCCACCAAGAATGCCTGGACTCTTGTTGAATGGGCCCTCAATCAGCGGTGGTGGGACCTGTGCCAGCTCATAACAGGTCCAGATGCAGGAGGTAATCCAGTTGGAAATTCTCTGCGAGGACACTGGAAGGCCCTTCATCCTATCTGCTGTTGCAATGAAGAACTGGGTTGACCTGTGGAAGGGCTTCGAACGCTCCAGGTAAAATGCTAGGACACATCTGACGCCCAGGGTGTGCAGCCTCCTTTCCTCACTAATGGTGTGCAGCTTGGGACACAACACCGGGAGGAAGATGTCCTGGTTGACATGGAAGGAAGACACCACTTTTGGCAGAAAGGCTGGGAAGGGTTGCAGTTGAACTTTGTCCTTGTAGAACACCATATGCAGTGGCTCTGATGTCAGGGCTTTAATCTCCGACAATCATCTCACCAATGTTATCGCCACAAGGAAAGAGACCTTCCATGACAGGTGGGAATGGGAGAAGGACCCCATAGGCTCAAAGGGCGGGCCCGTGAGCCTAGAAAGAAGCAAGTTAAGGTCCCATTGTGGGACAGGAGCCCAGACCTGCAGGAAGAGCCTCTTGAGGCCTCTCAGGAATCTGATCAACTTGTCGTGAGAGAATACCATCTGACCTTGGATCAGCGGGTGGAAAGCGGAGATGACTGCAAGGTGCACCCTGATGGAAGAGAGGGCCAGTCCCCGGTTCTTAAGATGAAGCAGGTAATCTAAGATAGACTGTAAGGAGGAGCGCGATGGAGAGATGCTATGCTCAGGTGCCGAGTGGAAGAATCTCATCCACTTGGCCAGGTAGGTTGCTCTGGTGGAAGGCTTCCTGCTTTCCAGGAGGACTGGCTGGACCTCATTAGAGCAGGCCTGCTCCACCAGGTTCAACCACACAGCATCCACACTGTGAGATGGAGGGAAGCAAAGTTGGTGTAGGAGGCACCCAGGATCTTGTGAAATCAGATCCAGTCGGTCAGGAATGGTCCAGGGAGCAGTCACCTCTCTGTCCACCAGCATGCTGAACCAGTGTTGGTGAGGCCACACTGGGGCGATCATGATGACTTGCGCTTTGTCTCTCTTGACCTTTGACAGGACACTGCTGATGAGCGGGATCAGCAGGAACGTGTACATCAGACCCCCCCCCCCGACCATGAAAGGAGGAAGGCATCGGAAAGGGAGTCTTTGCCCAGACCCTGTAGGGAACAGAAACAATGACATTTCCTGTTCTATCTGGAGGCAAACAGGTCCACTTGGGGAGTTCCCCACCTCTGGAAGGGCACTCAGGCTACCTCCAGATGGAGCGACCACTCGTGGTGAGAGAAAATGGACCTGCTGAGGCAATCTGCCAGTGTGTTCCTGAGGGGTGGTGACAGGCCTCCAGGTGGATAGTGTGATTGATGCAGAAATCCCACAATTGGAGAGCTTCTTGACAGAGAGCTGACAAGCATGCTCCCCCTTGCCTGTGGATGTATAAAATCGAGGTTGTATTGTCCATTTTCCCTGCTAGCTTGGGACTCCAGAACCCTGCCTTGTTGAGCCAGACATGCTAACCTGCTGCAACACGGACCCAGGGTCTGGGCCATGCCCAAAGCTGCAGACCTTAAAGAAAAACAGCTCGGCAGGTTACCTGTCTCCAACACCCAGACACCCAGCTCCCAATGGGATCCAAACTCCAAATAAATATGTTTTACTCTGTATAAAGCTTATACAGGATAAATCTGTAAATTTTTCACCCTCTGTATCACTGATAGAGAGATATGCATGGCTGTTTGCTCCCCAAGTATTAATCACTTACTCTGGGTTTATTAATAAACAAAAGTGATTTTATTAAGTATAAAAAGTAGGATTTAAGTGCTTTCAAGTAATAAAAGCCCAAACAAAGTACAGTAACTCCTCACTTAACGTTGTAGTTATGTTCCTGAAAAATGTGACTTTAAGCAAAATGATGTTAAGCGAATCCAATTTCCCCATGAGAATTAATGTAAATGGGAGGGTTAGGTTCCAGGGAATTTTTTTTTTTGCCAGACAAAAGACTATATTATATATAGTCTATACACACACACACACACACACACACACAATATAAGTTTTAAACAGACAATTTAATACTGTACATGGCAATGATGATTGTAAAGCTTGGTTGCAGTGGTGGAGTCAGAGGGTGGGATATTTCCCAGGGAATGCCTTACTGCTAACTGATGAACTAGCACTCGGCTGAGCCCTCAAGGGGTTAACTCGTTGTTAATGTAGCCTCACACTCTATCAGAGGATCAGAGGCAGGAGGCAAACTGGCGGTCAGGAACCACAAGTCAGATGCCAGGAGTCAAGCTGGGTCGGGATGCCAGGAAATCAAGCCAGAGAGCAGGAACAGGGAGCACATGGCACACAGTCCAGAGCAAGGTAGAGCCCAGTTGTTCAGACAGCTTGCTGTGCCAGCTGCTGGCTTAAGTAGGGCCCATGGGCCAATCAGCTGCTCTAGGTCTCTGCCAATCAGGCCTCGGGGCAGAGCCTAATGTTGGGTCTGGGCTTCATGACTCCCTGGTAAGCAGCAGTCAGCAGGCTGCCAGGTGGAGGGTTGAAGCATAGCTGCACCTGTGGGCTTGGGTTGGAGACCTGTGGGTTGTAGCATTCATGCGGGGTTCATGCACTTGGCAACATTCAGGGCACACCCAGAGTGTTGTGTAGGAGCAGTGCACACACGGCTCCTCTCAAGGGCATGAAACTTGGAATCTCGCCCAGAAGACACGAACCGTGGGAAGCCTCCCAGGACTGGGCTCAAGGCCCGAGAGCAAGGAATGCGGTAGATAGAAATTGGTAAATAAGAATATTATACAAAGCCAGTGTATTCCTTTTATCTGTTGGAGTATGTAATGCGCGGGGGGAGAGAAAGAAAGAAAGAAAGAAAGAAAGAAAGAAAGAAGAGGGTGGAAAAGCTGACAGGCAGAACAGCCCATCGGCAGACCAGTCTGCTTGCTTGCTTAAAGCTTGTTCTGTCTTGTATTTGAACCACAACAGTGGGTCATGACAACAATCAAGTAGGGTGCTTCAGATTAAAGGACCTGCTCCTACCTGACCTGGGTTAAAATGTGGGGCACCAACCAAGGACACCTGATTTCAGTTGTATTGGTAGAACATGGAGCAATAGATGGTCCTGCAAGTATCTCAGTCCTAACCTGTCCTTTCTTCTTCTGTGACACCCAGCCCACAGGCTGGATCCTGCTGCTAGGGACCATGTCAGACCCTGCAGAATTTAAGGGCACTGTGGATCATCATTCAAGCTGATGTTATGTATGTACCTATAAAAGATAAGAAATCCCAAGCAATGAGGTCACTGAGGTGATGGCGGGGAGCGGTTGGAACAGGAATATTAAACTGTTCTAAGTGCTTTCCCCTTTCACCTCTCACAAGCAGGGGCGGAGAGAGTGGCACCCGAATGCATCCATTACCCAAAATCAACCAATAGAAAGCAGATCATTCCAAGGCAAGTAATTATTCATGGATTGTAATGGGTAGAGAAACATGGCCATAGAAGAGGGTATCCAAGTTATTTCTAAGCTACCTTCTGTATTGCTAAGTACACTTTCTGCTGGAGATAAGGGGGACTTGTGAGCCGTACATGCTTTTTTCCCAATAACTGTTGGCTTACACTTAAAACAACGACTACCCAAATCAGTGGTGTTGCTAGATTGTCACTCATAAGTTTGTCTATTCATAAGCGATGTACCAGGAATTATTCTTCAGCAGGTGGGAGGAGGAGAGCATAAATATGCAAAACTCCTCATTTGATGGTTCTTGTGGAAGCGTGGCAGATGGGAGCATGCACATGAACCTGTTGCTTTTTGCTGCCCTGTACCAGAGTTTTGCTTTGTTTTGCTTTGTTTTCCTGTTTTTCTCCAACTTTCATTCAGCAGCTAAGGTGGGAAGCTAAAACTTTGCCTGACTTGTACAGAGTGTCCTCCTCTTAACGGAATGTGTCTGCTGTTGTGCTGACGGAGGTACCGTGCTGCCATCTAGTGCATTTTGCATTAGGAGCTGTCTTCCCTTTCCTATGGGATTGTTTCTGCTCACTGTAATCTCGGGGGCAAATGACAGATGGAAAACACTTCAATTTAGGGCAACATTCTCATATAATTTAATCCAAAGAGCCTGATTGGTGTACATGAGAAGCGACTGCAGGCGAGGGGTTCTCTGTGAGGGCCCTAGCTATGATATTTGCTCCCTCCTTGGAGCTATGTGTCCCAAATCTCATGAATACTCTCCCAGGCACTGAAAATCAAGGAAGTGTGGAGGTAGGGACTTGCGGGAGGGTGAGTTGGCTTTAGCTACCAGTGGGTTCTACTGACTTGTACGGCTGCACTTTAGTTATGGTTTGGGTATTTGTTTTGTTGTATTTTTTCAGTATGTCTGGAGCATCTTGAATATGTAGAGAAGTGTCCTTTTGAGCATGTCCGTACCACTAAGCATATCAGTTATAGCTGCTCCAGTACGATGCATTGGGAGGAAAAGGGCACCTGCACAGGAGGAAGCCATAACTTGGCCACAGATCTGGAGGGAGCAAAGTGGGGTGTAAATAGCACAGCCAGCCACACTAGCCACCCTGAATCTGATTGTGGTAAAAGTGAACCATGGCTCTGCATGTTGTGATGGCCAAGCTCAGGGGAAAGGAGTCAGCAGTTACTGCATCCTCTCCAGTGCCTGTTCTGCATCCCCTCCAAGAAACCTTACAAAAATGTGTAATTCAGAAAGCCATTCAGCTGGGCAAATTTGTAGATAAATAACCTCTCCAGCAGGAGGAATGGGGCACAGATACACAAGTAATATGCAGTGTTACCTCTGCTTTGTGCCCACATATCCACCTGAGGTGAAAAGCTAAAAAGTCTGAGATTTTCCTGTTAGCTAAACTGGACCTCGATGGGAGGGTTTGTGCCATTTAAGAAGAAAAGCTGACTTCCCAATTTTCCTCAGAATTCAAATATTCACTAAGTGCATCTAGACAGTCCTGTCTGTAGTCTGTCTCCATATTCAGTCCTACGCATTTGGTGAGTGCCTCACCCCTCTAGGCACTGCCATAACACATAATAAAAATAAATGATGAGGAAAAACAAATATCCTTTGTCTCATGCCCCATCAAATCTAAGGTTTGTAATTCTGTTCAGGATAGGCTTCAGCATTACGACCCTGAAATACGTTTCAGCTCATGGAGAATTGCATCAGGCACACAAATTTGATAGTTTAGGTCTTTGGAGTTGGTCTGTTCTTTGGTAATTTCGAATCCTTATGTTCTTTTTTCCTGAAACTATCAGACTTGCTCTTATTCAGACAGGGAGGGGATGGCCAACTGTATTTAAAATGTGTCCATACCATATATAAATCTTTCTTTGTTAACTGGTCAGTTTTACGACACCAACTGTAAATGTGATTCCTGAAGGACCCTGCGTCATCAAAGAAAATTCAAACTTTGTAATATACTTTGACATATACTGCCAAACTTCAGGTTTTGTTCCTGGTTTGTTTTGTTTTTCTCTTTAAGTAAAACTAATCAGTTCTGGCAGTTCTAATGTCAGTTCTAATGTCTAATCAGTTCTAATGTCTCCATTCTCTATCTGATCTTCTGTACCTGGAACAGGATATTAGAGAATCAGGACATGGCTCCTTCACAAAGTGGTCTTAGAAGAGACTGAATTTAAACAATTTATTATGAATCAAATAGAGATATT